CTCAAAGCAGGTCGAATAGCTGGACCTTTTTCCCATGAACAATTAAGAGAGAAGTTTGGTTTCTTCCGTTCTAATCCGATGGGCAGTGCGGTCAATGGCGATGGTTTGGTGCGATTAATAAATGATCTGTCGTTCCCAAAACGCGATGCAAACATCCCGTCAGTAAACTCGTTCGTCAACAAACACAACTACGGGACACAGTCGGATGATTTCAATCGAGTGGCGAGATTTTTCAGACGCTATCCAGGCAGATGGATGGTGGCCATTTTCTACTGGAAGAAGGCCTGCTGTCAACTCTCGGTTCACCCTTGCCAACGTCGCTTCTTGATCATAATGGACTTTGATGGACGGCTCTATGTCGACCTAGCGGTAGGGTTTGGAGGAGTTGCTATTTGCGGCGTGTTCGGAGCACCGGCACATATATGGAAGCAGATAATGGAGAAGCTTACCGGCGTGAGGAAGATTTTTAGGTGGGTTGATGACAACCTCCTATTCAAGCGTCCGGAGGATGTGGAATCGCTGGAAACGGTAGAAATCTTGAGCAACAGCCTAGGGGTGCAGACAAATCCTATCAAGAACCACAAGTTCGCAGACGAGCAGAGGTTTCTGGGTTTCATCTGGAACGGAATGGATCATACTGTTAGACTACCAAATGAAAAACTCCAGCAGAGGAGGCAACAAATTAAAGACTTACTTGGTCCAAAACCTTGCTCCTTCAAATCAATCGAACAGGTCACAGGCAGGCTAGTGCACACAATGAACATCGTCCCACACATGAAACCATACGTTAATTCACTCTATCGAATGATGAAAAGTTGGAAAAATAAGGAGGCTCTTCGACACCTGACCGATAGAGCCAGAATAGACTTACAAGAATGGGACCTGTGCCTTGGCTCCTTTAACTCCAGACCCCTTATACCGGAATCGAAAGCCCTAGAGATCAATTGGGCAGGTGATGCATCCTCGTCCTTTGGAATCGGAGTACTGGTAGGTCAACACTGGGCGTGTTTCAAGTTCATGGAAGGATGGCAACTGCTGAACCTATCGAACAAAAGGCGGTCCATCGCTTGGGCAGAAACGGTGGCAATCCGCCTGGGCCTGCTAGTAGTGAGACAGCTGAGAAAGGTAGCGGGGAAACGTTTTGTAGTGTGGACGGACAACACAACATCACAATCTACGGTAGACAAAAGGAAGTCAAAAGACATTTGGGTGAACAAAGAGTGGAAAGAAATCCAACGATTACTCACCAAGTTAGAATGTAATGTGAAGGCAAAACACGTCTCATCTAACGACAATCCGGCAGATGATTTATCCAGAGGGATTTTGGGCGATCTTTTGTGGGCTCACGAAGTCCGAGTGGAGATCCCAAACGACTTATCTGGCTTGATGTGGCAAGTTTCTCTGGAGCCAAAAATTCCAGCCAATCCGTCGAACATCACCGTCCCAGAACAATCCATCTAAATCGACTCTTCACGATGAGGAAAACAAAGTCCAAACCGGGAAGCGATCCTAAAGATTTGCGAAGGGTACTGAAGCCTTTCGGGGCATTCCGGAAGGACGCACTAGGAGTTGATGAGTCGGAGTCAGATGATGTAAAACAACACTTCTTGCGGGGATCCTGGAGTAACGGAACCCTGAAGGGCTACAACTCGGGCATCATCAAGCTACACAGGTTCTCCACGGTCAAGGGAGTAGACAAGTCACTCCTTCTCCCCATCTCAGCATCGCTAATGAGGGAGTTTGCGGTGTGGGCCTCTATCAAAGACGAGAAGTTTGCAATAAAAGATGAATCAGTTAGATTGTCGACACTGAAGGCTTATATAGCGGGGATTAAGGCATGGCACACTTACCATGGAGTCGACTACCCTACCAAAGTTGATGACTCCATTCGGCCACTGCTGAAGGCATCGAAAACGATTGAGGCAAAGCTGGCGGAGGCGGATAAGAAGCGTCCTCCTGTCCTGGTATCCGATCTTGTCATCCTGTTCGACAAGTTGTCAGTCCAGGGTGAGAGAGAGCTGGCCATGCTAACGGTAGCTCTCGTGGCGTTTTGGGGAACGGCCAGGCTAGGCGAACTGATCACAGACAATTCGAAGAAATCAATGCCGAGATGGGACGATCTGGTCTGGGCAAAGGATAGATCCTACGTGAAAATTGCTGTCCATAACGCTAAGACAGCTAACCCAGGAGAAACTCAATGGATTTACCTACATCGAACGGATTCTATGCTGGACCCTGTTTCGATGCTGGAGTCGTGGTTCGCTTTCAAACCTAGGAAACCCAGAGACGAAATCTTCTCTTACTCAAAGTGCGGACGGAAGTGCCGTCTGGGAAAGGTGGAAACCATAAATCAGTTCAGGTCGATCTGGAATACAAAACGCTCAAAGAAGAAGCAGCTCCTTCACGGACACTCATTTAGGATCGGCGGTGCATCGCTCCGTTGGAATCTGGGTGCTGATAAAGACGAACTGAAAAGGTGTGGACGTTGGGCATTGGACGCGTATATGGTTGACCTGAGAAAGTTCTTGGCAAAATACCTAAAGTCAACGGTAAAATTACTGAAAGATTTGGAATGGGTACAACCCACGTAATTCGGATGTCTCAAGCGTTGCCCATGGTTCGTCATGAGTTCATTGTCCCTTCTGTCCAGGAGTGAACACGTCTGATTGGAGAGGAGTGTGTTCCCAGTGATCAGACCCGATCAAAGATGAGTGCAGCTTCAGCGTACTTGACAAGACGAGGGAGATCTCTTGAAGGGGATCGACAGATAGTTTGCCACCGCACGCCTCAGTCTCTTCTGGTTGTTTCCGAAAGATTCTGGACCTTCTAATATGTATTGTACAGGTGAACTTAAATGTTGGTACAGCCTGATTACTGAATTTGAAGTATATGGAAACATTCTTTACTCGCTTTTATGCAGGCGGTGGATACCAAGTAACAGTGTAGGGGTCTCACGGAGGACCGAGGGATGGGGTCTTCTCTAGGCTCACGGCTCAGTCCCCCGTGAGTATTGGGGAAGAGAAGACCTCATTGGGTCTCCTTGTTCTCGACCCGCTTGAGCAGGTCATTTCGGTGGTAGACGTCTACCACCGGGGCCCGTTTTACCCGGGGCATACCCCCACACCACCCCCAGTAAGAAAACAACCTTAATCCTAAACAGTTTAAGAGAATCGTTTTATTGGAAGTGGTTACAAGGTTACCTCCTTGAGGTCTCCAGATTCCTGTAACAACACTATCCTGACAATCTGAGTTGGGTCAGACGGTTAATCACCTCGACCCACTCGCTACACCCCCTCCTAATAGAACCCTACGTATATAGTAGTGGACGAGAGAAAACAAGCAACTCCAGCGCCAATTGTTCTTGATGGGGTTGAAGAATTTGAAGTTGAAGAAATCTTAGATTGTAGACGAAGAAGAGGCAATTTAGAATATTTGCTGAGCTGGAAAGGATACGGGCCAGAAGAGGACTCGTGGGAGAAAGAAGATGCTGTAGGTAATGCTCAAGATTTGTTAAATGAATTTAAAAATGATTACCCAAAGGCAGAACAAGGTTACTGCGACAGCGCACGGCGATTTTTTCAGCCGCGCCGCCTTCGCAATCCAATGTTTAATCACTGCAATGACACTGCGATAGGTTTGTCATGACACTGCGGTGAATTGCCGCGCTATCGTTGTGAAGGTGGTGCGGCGGCACGCTGCGCGGTGTTTGCATGTTGTTGATAAAGATGTCTCTTTAACAATGCGTAGAAACTAGACTATTACGATTGACTTGTGAACCTGAGACAGGAGTACCCTTGTACCTACCTCAGAAGACCCTGATTGGAACAGACCTTTCAGCGAGTACCAGGCAGCGGTAGCCATTCCGCACCTAAGACAACATGGAGTCGCCAGCTCCTGTTATAAAGGCTCGAATTTACCTCAGTAAACTTACTGTAACAAAGCCAACAAGAAGCATCAAGCACGCAAGTATTCAGCTATGATTCTCTTAAAGCCACCTGTTTTAAGTCTCAGGCTGACATAGTAACAGACAATAGGCAGGCTCACCCGCTGTCTCAGAGTTGATCACCCTGACCCCAATTTTCTTGTACCTGTTCATGTTTACATAACATGAGCAGGTATGATGTTCTAAATGTCTAGGCCAATTGTGGCTGTTGTAATAATAAATAACATTCATCATAGTATATCATACAAGTTAAAGGAAGACTGTGTTCAGCGGCAAAACTCCCAAAACTCCCAATCCCTATTCCAAATTTCAAGGTTTGCGCATCCTGATCATTTAATTTCATCATCACGTGTTCTACCATCACCTTCATTTGCCACTTGCAAAACACCTAAATCCTCATCTTATTAACCTCACTTCGCCTCTTTCCAATCACTTGACCGCTTGAACACCACTCTTGAAGCATATTGCACCGGTCTCCGCTCCTAATAAATCACACTCATCCTGTCTTCTTGACTATGACGGTTCTTGACTCAAGAGTCGAGTTGCTCCTCACCCGTGCAGCCATTGCTGATATCGAGCTTCTTCCTAGCAATTCATGATCAAATCAACCGATCCTCAGTCCAGCAATTCATTAAATAACCTGATCCTCAGTCTGAAAACAACTACAAAACTATCGAACCGATTCAGAAAGATAAGAAAACAACCTTCAGTCAATCTAATGAGACTATAGAATCAATGCAAAACAACAAAGTTTGCTCAATCTAATGTACCCATCAAACCAATCCAACTGAATAAGGAGATTGTATTTGGAGAAATTGATGAACCCATCAAAACAACCACCAGATCAGAACCAACTCAAACCAAACCTGAAAAAGATGCTAATTCTTCATCGAGATTGAAGAAAGAAAACTCATCCAAAGAAGAAGTTGAAAAAGTGAACTCGAGAGATGATGGACGAGAGGATCCCGCATCTTTGGCGCATCCCCATTGATGTTTCATTTTGTGACTGTCTTCTCATTTCCTTCATTACCACTCAATACTTGGTTTTGTTACCATCATGGTCCATCGATCTGCTACTCACGCTGGGTCTTGGTACACCTCTTCCCGTCAGGTCATCTCACTTCATGCCAATTGATAGGTGGTATAACTTTACAGTCCAGCAGCGTTCAAATCTTCACTTGATGTTCATTTGAAACTGTCAGGGAAACATCAGCCAACAAGCTCAGGAATGAGATCAACACATGGCTCGAAGCTGCCCATCCTAAGGCTGAGACGACAGAGGAGACGCAAGATTGGCGAAAGGTCGCAATGCCAGTGCCGATCAGTCACTGTAAGGCGGTCATCGCGCCGTGGGTTCACCTACTCGCTATCTCTGAGGTGAACCTGCTCACTGCCCAATCTCACGTCCGACACTAGGCATGTAGGATACTTGTATTCTGGTTTGACTGCTGCTTGGGCTTATAAGACCATTGATCCTTCTGTGATGTGAATAGCTGAGTGTCGAAGCCAGGAAACATGTAGTGCACTGAAGTTATCCTTTGTCCCATGTTTACCTTGATGGATGCGCACTGTCTGGATGCGAAGCATACGAGATTCCTCTAGGCAATCTTGAGATTGACATACAAGGTTGCTTCTCCTTGGCTTCTCCTTGTTTCTCTTTTGACGCATCTTGCCAAACTGAGTTTCGTCTCAATCTGTTTCAATCTTCATATTTCTGCTCGGCCATCTCAGTTACCTTGGAATTGGCGCAATGGAGATGGATATCAAAACTGATAAGGCCGAACATAGTATCGAACTCCATCTTCCTTATGTCCGACACATTTCAAAGAGTTTGTAATACTAAGTTTTCAAATAATCAGTCCGATCTTGTGTTTGTACAAATAACTAATCAGCCTTTTTTCTTCAAATCTCGCTGTATTATAGTCAGACCATCACCATTGTCCCTATACTTATAGGATCAATATCTTCTGAGGAAGAACTTATCTATGGCAAAGTATTGCGACCCTATCTCCTCTCACCGGAAAACCTTTTTGTCATCTCATCTGACTTTTGTCACTGGTGAGTCACCGCATGATATCTTATATTTTGACACAGATACCATGTTTTATTCGCTGACCCATTGTTTTCATTGGCACATCAATTGGACACACAACGTGGGCTCAAGTTTTTCCTACACTTATTATAAAGACCCGGCGCGCAAATTGAGTTCCGGTGCATCTCCTCCAGCAACGCCAATTTACCAATCAATCGAGGCATTAGACCAGGAAGCGCTTAAGATACTTGAAAGCCTGTCTCATTCGGAATTCAGCCGTTACCTTTCTCAAACTAAGAACAATATATGTGGTTGTCCAGTCAATGCGTCCCAGCTTTTGATAGTATTGTGAGTTATGCTTCTGCGTTCGTAAGTCTTGGATTAGAAGACGCCAAAGTACTACAACGTCGACCTATTCGTGCGAGTCACAATACTTGACGAGTCATACAAATACAAACAAGGCTAACAGCTCATCATGAGTAACAAATCTGATATCTACAAATTGTAGAATTGAGGTTAATTTGTTGATCTGTTTTTTTCTGTTTCAGTCAATCGAACTCAAACCAACTTGGTATGATACATCTTACTTACCACCACTACTTTCAACCAGTAAATCTAAAATCCTTACACCAGAACGGATCTAATCATTACATGCAGGAGGTCAATTTGTCTACAAATCTCAACTCATCAGACAGAATCCTTGAGATCATCAGTTAACAAACTCAAAAAAGGATCATACGTGAATCACACGATCAAATTCACAATCTCAGAATCAGATAAAATATTTATACATGAGATTTCAACAGCAGGAACTTTGAGCGATAAGCTTTCTGTGTTGATCTTAGTGATCTTTTCTTCACCTTTACTTGCAAACTTGCACAGATTCCTTTTGATTTGTAAAAAACATCAAGAGGTGAATCTAGAAAATTGATTAGAGGATTAGCTCATTGGTTAGAAAAATTAAATCATTCTGGTTTACCTGATCAAAAGTCAAAAAGTTTTCAAGATCAAAATGAAGGACTTGGAAGTTTGAGATTTGAGAATGAACAGCTTTGGGAAGGATTCAAGAGAGTTTGATGAGAGGTCCGAAGAACATGTGCTTGGATATGAGTGGTTGGCTGTTTGTTGTTTTGAGGATTGGTTCAAGAAATGATATCTAGAATTCTTGGGAATCATTGGAGTAAGCTGTTCTTTCATTGAAAATCTACAATTCTTGGGTAGAGAAACTGATTAAAATAAAATAAATTGGATTGGCATTAGAAAAGTTTGCATAATGTTTCAGTTTTCAATCAAATTCAAAGTGTTTCATGGCTCTATTATTCATCAAGTTTAAAAGAAGAACAAGAACAAAACGTATTGAGATTATTAGTGAATAAATTAGGAGATTGAGAAAACACAGTATGTTAAGTTGTTATCTTTCACAAATCTTACAATTACATCTGGTAATGAAATCTATAATCACACAAGGAATCTCAGGATTAATGTTCAAATTTGAAGATTCTAATAAAGATGAAAATGTCACCAATTCCAAAAATTGAAAAGCATTATGTAAAGTTCAAGATCATTTGTATTATGGTACTATTGCATTAAATCAAATCACTCTGGGAAAAGATGAAGATGAATCAGTTGCAAAAAATAATTGAAGTTTATTTTGAATTGTTTAAAGGGATTTTAGGAAAAACAGAAAAAGAATAAGGAGAAGAAGAAGGGATAGAAAGGAATGAAAAATCAAATGAAGAAGAGATTGAAGCAAATGAAATAAAGCAAGAAGAAAGATTGAAACAAAATAGGGGTAAAAAGGAATTAGAAATAGGGATCAAGGAAGACTTAATAATCAAAGAGCATAAAGCAAATTATTAAGTGCAATCTTCACTGGAGTATATTGTTCATTACCTGATGGTAAGATTGATGATGATGGATTGAAGGATGAGATTTGAAATTTATTCAAGATTTTATATTCTACTAATTCATCTGTTTTTAGACAATCTTTAACATTAATTTATCATTTAATCAAGTTTCATCAATTTTTGATCAAGATTTCTCAACATCCACTTTTGTGAATCTTTTGTTTAAAGCCCTTAAAAAAGATCAATGCATGCAAATAGTTGAAAGTTTGGTAAGAAGGATCCTTCAGGGGTTGATCTTTGATCAAGCTCCATTTATTTGTTCTGCTTTAGTCTTAGTTGGTTATGTAAGTGGGATCCTTCTTAATTTTTATTTATCAATTTCAAGATTAACATACTTTTTTATTGAAGATGTCAACTTTTGCTCACTGATTGTTAATCATCTCCTTGATTTTTCAAGCTTATTTACAATCTAATCCTACCATTTCTCCTTTGCCACCAAATGCAATGGAAAACCATGTATGTGGTAAGATCTATCAAACTGTTTAATAAGATAATCAACTTTACAACATCTCACAAATCAGTTCTCATTTTGAAAACCCAAAACAATTAAACTATTTGGATTTAGTAAGTTTTGGTGTCTTATATGAATTCAAAAGCCATCTTCAATTCATCAACAATATATTTCAAGTTATATAATCAAATCTCAATTTGGATTCAATCCATCAACCTTGCATCAAATCAAGAATGGTTAGAGTTCTATCTGTCAGTAATCATCTCAATTGTTAAAACATATCAAATCATCATAAACATCAAAGGAGAACTATCAATTTGAACAAAACTGGACAAAACCCCTTACCTGCTTGAAAATTTGATAGTTTTGATTACTTAATGTTTCTGACTCTTCATGATGGTACACACTCCCAATGACAGCTTTGACTTGGCTTGCGTCTTCACTCATTTCCCAACTACCACCTAATTGAAGACTTTTTTTCATCAGTATTTACTTCATCAATCTTCTTCTCCTTCGAAGCGAACTCAATCTACTTCTCATTCTCAATCTCAACCTAAACCTCAACCAAAGTAAGTCTTTTCTTTCAAAC